ATGTGACAGTAGGCTTGACTGTATGTTTCAGGGAATGGTTAAAGTGGGGTGGAAACAGAGATATCAGTCTTCTCTAACATTCTTAAAATTACTGTAACCACATGTACTGGCAGATATTTTGGAGTATAGAAACACTGGTGATTTTTCACACCATTGATGTTGGCAAATATACCCTTCGAGCCTTTCAGAGCATGACCATAATCACCATTCTGTCATAAAGTGGCTAAAGGGGTGAAGAGCACTTTGGAATTGCATAGCTGTCCTTGTCTTGTCTCACCAGCATCTCAGCCACAAAGCTATGTAACTACCACTAACTCAATGGACACTCACTTTTATAGATAATACTTCTATTTCTGTTTACAGCAAAATCAAGAGAGTTCAGTGCTAACCTGAAGTTAAGATTGCTTGATGCATCTTTCCAGAAAGTTGAGTTTAGCAGAAACTCAAACTTCTGAAAACCTGTAAATGAAGAGTTAATAGTCACAGCTCTGCAGTCATAACTTTGCAGACTTTTAGCAATGCCTCAGACTACCCGTCACAGATATACTCTCAACTATGGCTTTGAACCATACTACCTTGTAGTCACACATCTGGTCCACTTCATAGCAACATCACAAACCCTGAATTTTACAACCCAATTCACTTTTCTACACACAATGCCACTAAACACTATGTTAAGTTGTCTTTCACTAAATCCAGAGATCATACTTACTAATCTAATTTCTTCACAAGCAGGAGAGTTCTGTGATTTGCCACTGACCCAGTCTAAACAATAAAGTACTGAAATCAGTCAAAGTGATCTTAAGGCAGTGGTTGGCAACCTTTTAAGGCGCCAGGCTGGATTGACCAAGGTTGGGGCAGAGATGGGCAAGTGAAGGGAACCAAGGACCAGGCAGCTGCTAGCATGTTTCCCTGTGGTGGCCCCAGAGAGAGTGCCTTCTGCTGAAGATTTCTGTTCACAGATCTGGTGAATTTGAAAATGGGTGGGTTTATCTATCGCTTCTTGGCCTCTTGTCGGCTTAGATCAGGTGTATAAACTATACAAGATTTGGGTCCATGCTAGTGGCTGCTGGGTCCTAGTGCTCACATTCACCCACCTCCGACCTAAACTTTGTCAATCCAGCCTGCAGCCTTAAAGGGTTGCCAACCGCTGCTTTAAGATCAGTTCCCAACCCTGTCTTAAGGTACACATGTATGCAAGCAAACACATGCATGCTTGCCAAGCAGAGAGGTATGACCCACTCAGATGACTTCTCATCACGTTCCTTCTGCCATTCAGTGCAACAACATCTAATGTGGTGAGTGTAGCCAGAGTGCAGATAATTCTCATTAGCCATTCCTAGCTCCAAAGCCCCGAGTTAAAGTCATGTGAACTTGACCCAGAAGGGCACAAGATGTCCCTTGGCAATGATGAATTTAACAAAGGTTCTTTTGGCATCGAGCACTTCTAAGGAAAAACATTAGAAGATGCCTCCTCTAAAGGGTGCTGTAGCCAGATCTTAAATAGTTTATGGATAAATACATCAATCTTCAAATTCACCCAGAAATTCAACTAATGCAGAGTTGTAATATGCTGGCTGTGGGAAATGCTGCTTAACAAGGACTGTTTTGCATTTGACAGCAGAATTTTTAGTAACTTTCAGTTAGAATCTAAAGAAACTTGCAGCATTCTATCCAACAACATCAAAGGCATGGATGGACTTTGAGTTCTGCATTTAAAAGAAAAAGTTGTGAACTGAATATGAAAAAGCATTGTTGGTTACAGCTGTTGTCTGAGCTAGTGAAGCCTACAGTACCTTTGTAGTGCAAGTTTAATTAACAAAAAACATAACATCTCAATTAAGGACATATATTTCATTTGCTGTTTGTCATCTGCTGTGCTTTCAGCCTACCAGAGACTGAAAGATGAGATGTAAAGATGAAGATGTACATTCTTTGAATTTTGCAATTGAAACCTTGTTTCAAACTAGTTTTCTTCTTAGGCTTAAAAAAAGGTTGCTAGTACAGTTGTGGCTGTTTGAAGAAAGCAAGGATCTCATTTATGAATTTTTTTAGTTCAAAAATAAAAGGAAAAATAACTTCCCTTGAAGATACTGTAACTTCTGTTCTGCTCTGTGCAGATTTTATAATATGTTTATAATATCCTCAGCACTGTCTAGTATCTGAGTAGACTCATTCCTCCTTCAGTGACTCCCTTGTAGTTGTTTTTAATTTGCACTCAGATGATCAAAAGTTACTTTCTTACCTAGGACCTGATAAAGAATGCCTTGTATATGAAAGCTGTCTAACCATGTTTATCCCAACCATGCAGTTTGGTCCAGTAAGAGAGATTGCCCACAACAATCCTTACCTCTCCCAACCTTACCTCACACATTTTCAGGTGTTGTACAAAATTCCAGCCATAGCATTTAATATTCATTACTTATACTAAAGAATACTAAAAAACACCTAGATTATTATAACAGATTTAACAGTGTTCTGTCCCCTCCCTCCCCACCTTTTTTAATGTTGTATCTAATAGTACTAGGATGCACTGATAGAGATTTTGGGAGCCAATACTGATATGCCTGCTTAAAAAATGGCTATCGGCTGAATTCCAGTACAGCTGCATGCAGCTGGTAAGTCTGTTGTGATGGAAGGGGAGGGGGGAGGGAAAGAACATGGCAGGGTGGCAGATCAAAGCCCACATGGTGAGGGAGGGAGGGAGTGGGTCTGATGCTGCCCTGGGGGGTGGGGAGGGTATGGGATGGAACCGCAGTTCATCTGTGGGGAATGGGGGCAGCTCCCACCACTGCACGCACCCCCAGGAGGGCATGGGGGGGGCGTGTGCCCCGGGGGTTGGACCAGGGCTGTGCTTGGGGTGGGCAGTGGTGATGCTGGGAGGAGAGCTATGGGGGGGCTGCAGCCACCCCAGATTTCACTGTAGCTCCCCTCCCAGCGCCACCACTACTCGCCTGAGTGCAGCCCTGGCTCAGCCTCTCCACCTACACCCTGGTAAGAGCCTGGTACAGCCCTGGCTGCAGCCCGCAGCGGTAGCCCCCTGCCCCTGCTACACAGATCCAAAAGCACACGCCCCCACCCCCACCTGCCTGCTTAAGCAACTCCCGGCATGTGTGCAGCGCCGCCCCGCCCCCCCCGAACAAGCCATGGCTCTGTCCTGTGCCTCACCCTGCTGCAGCTGGGCAGCACCTGTGCCTGCCTCAGCCCCAGCTCCACTCCCTCACTGGTGGGCTGTGATCTGCCCCCTGCCATGCCTCTTCCCTCCCCTCTCCCCTTCCACCACAACAGACTTACTAGCTGCACTCAGCTCTCCAAGCTGCTGGGATGTTCTCCTTGTTCCCTGGGTGCTGTGCTGCAGCTGTGCACATGTGCAGACATTTATTGGCCAAATTATCATCCACATCAGGCCGATTTCCGATACAGTCAATTTTCTTTATATTGGTGCCGATCTGATATTGAACCCATGTATCGGTGCACCTTTAAATAGTATTATGTGTAGTCATTATTGCTGTTTACTTGCAGTAGTCTGTTAGTTTCTTTTTTTTCTCTGAGCCTTTGATAGCAGTAGTGGAGAGAAACTCTGGGTGATTGAGCAGATCTTTTGGCAGATGTAATCTCTTATATCGGCAGCCAGCAACCATTTTCAAGCTGTGGGCTGGAACAACCAGGCTCTTATCTGATGTGGACTTGGGTGGCTTCTGCCTCATGTCAGCAGTGGGAGGGGCTCTGCCTGTGCCACCACTGGAGTCAGGCACCTGGGAGCTGTGCCTATGTTGCTACTGCTTCTTGTAGCCCCCTGCTCCCAAGTCCGGGTATAAGTATAATGTCCAGCTGGTGGGGAGCTGGGGCAGGGCTGGGCAGCTGACAGCTGTGTCTACACTGCAGCTGGGAGGTGGGGGGAAAGGAGAAGAGACAAGTGGCAGCTTTCAGCTGCCTGGCTGTGACAGCTCTCCACAGCTCGAATCTGTGTCCATGCTGCAACAGGTAGATATGAGCTTTAGAAATGAATTATATGAAGTGGGTCAGTATCTCTTTTCAAAAACCTTTAATTCAGAGTAAACAGAGTTTACTGTTTAATATTAAAGCTTTACATCTGACAGAAATCATCCCAGGGTATGCTGTGCCTTTAGTGAATGTTACAGTTAATTCCAGGTTTGCATATAGCTGGTTGTGCTTCACAGAACAGTAACTAATTAAAAAAAAACTCTTTAGAATTCCTCAACTTTAAGTCTGTGTATATGGAGAAGGCTTGCAACCATAAATTGTAGATTTGTTCTGCTACTAAACTTCTGAAACCTGCATGCCCTCAAGAGGACTCTCAAATGAGTAAATGGCATGTTGAAAGCACTTTCACAGTTCAGTGTTCTCTATCAAGTTAGCACCAATTTCTTCATTTGTATTGCTTTATGCTGTTTTCCCTCCAAATTCAGGATGTAGTCTGTTACAAGATTAATATGTTGACTACTGAATTACAAGACAGGAAGCTACAATAAAAAATATAATCTTAACAGTTACTTGAATCCTGGTTTCTGTTAACAATTTAGAAACAAGTGAGTTGCACCATGTGATTTACATGCTTGTAGAAGAAACAGTGTTAGAAAGGGAAGCTAATTTTGTGGATTAAGCACTAAATTGGGACTTGGGAATTTAGGTATCATGGTGCCACAGACCTCTTGTCTCACCTTGAGCAGGTTATTTGATCACTCTGTGCCTGGGTACTGTGCTTGTGAAATAGGGTGTGATGCATTACCTCACCCCCTGTGATGTGATGGAGAACTAATTTATGGAAGTGAAGTGTTTTGATACAATGTGTCTCTGAAAAGTCTGTATTTCTCTTTCTTTCATTCTTAGTACTTGATTCTGCAAGGTAATGAAAACCTAGTGCCTACTTAAGTGCTTTTCTGGGTTGGGAACAAAGGGCTCTTCATCTTGCAGGGCTTAGCTTTTAATGTAAATCTTTTGTACTCTAATACTTTTTCTTTTTTAATGTCTTTCATCAGATTTTCATGGATCTCAATAGTGCCAGCACTATTGTTCTGCAAGTCTTGACCCAAGCTACCAGTCAAGATACTGCTGTACTGAAACCAGCTGAGGAACAATTGAAGCAGTGGGAGACACAGCCAGGCTTCTATTCAGTTTTGTTGGTAAGTGGAAATAGAAAATGTTTTAATTGCCACATTTTGTATAATGTATATTTTCAGTTTCTATGGTTCACTTTTTCCTTTGTCACCTAGCTTATTTTTGAATAGGAGGCTGGATATTTGCTTACTTGCACTTATTTCTACTTGGAGGAAATCTTAGTCATGCTTTTGTAATGAGGCTGAGGATGGTTCTTCTCTCTACATAGTAGCAAATAAGCCATTTTAAATAATGGTTCAAGAGTTCTGATGGCCGATACTCTGTTTTCAGTGACAGCAGTTTTATTTATTTGTGCCTTTAGTGAGTGGGCAGTAGTCTCTAATATGTTGTACCCTCAATACAGAGGTAGGGTAATACTAGTATGTACTCTGCTTCTTTCTATTCTATTATTTTTTTTCAGAAGAGTTTATTTTGATAGAGAGTGGCTTAGGTAAGTGTCTGAATTAAATAAAAAAGTTGTTGCCATATGTCAAGTTGTAGTAAAATATGCCTGTGGGCTAAATCATGTTATCTGCAAAGAAAAAAAAAAAAGGATTGCTAAAATAAATTTGACTTGCTATTCTTTTGGAGCCAGCTTAAGGTGGTGAGTGGCTTGGCTCTTGTTGGATGCTGAGAGAATATGACCTTTTAAGCTTGTAAAGACACAGGTCTGAATAAGTTTCACTATCTGAGTAGCTGGCAAAATATATAAGCTCATTAAAAACAGCTACTGTAACAGACCAAATGTACTTCCATTTGAAAAAGACACTAGGGTTGATCTGGTGATTTTAGTTAGTAAGCTATGTATTTATACCAGGCAAATTAACTGGAATGATAAGTTAAAATAATAGAACCTCTGAGACATTACAATATTATAGTGTAATGAGCATGATTTCTGCAAAGAGAAAAGCATTTTTCTAAGGTATTAGAATAGATTGAATGTATCAACAAAGCACTGAATAAATTAGTGGTTGGCATGGCTTATCTAGACTTTCTACATGCCTTTTGAAACAATCCCTCACAAAGGGCTACTAAAAAAAAAAAAAAAGCTAAAGCTTGGTCTGCAGTAAATACTTAACTCGGATAAGTATATTGGTCAGTAACGTAGTGTGTGGTGGGGTGGGAGGTGGCAAGCAAACACACATCCATAATCAATGCATTTATGCCAGCAAAAATGCTAATATTTGTGTCTGCATCTGGGAGAAAATCCTTTTTCCTGATATAGTTGATTCTGTTGCAGGTTGGTTTAAGCTATACTGAAGGCAGGATAGATTTGCATCTTATAGATGGAGGTCTATCTAACTCTAGGAGGTGGCCAGCTGATTTCGCAGGGAGATCACATGGCCAGTCACCATATTCATGGGCTGATTGCAGTGTCCTCTCCCTTCTCCCTCCCTCCCCCACAACTCTGATTGGCTTAAGGGGCCCCAGTGGTCTTGCCCCTCATTGCTGATTGGTTGTGAGGGCTATCCATCACATGTCTTCTTCCCTCACTGCTGATTGGTTGAGGGCTGTCCATCATGCAACCCCACCCCTTGCTACCAATTGGTGGGAAGGAGCATGGCCACATGACAGGCAGCCCTCTTAGCCAATCAGTGTAAGGGGTGGGGGGGTGACAACCATCTTGTGGTGCCCTTCATGCAGGCAGTTCTGACTAGAGTTGCGCCAATACATTGGTCTGATACTGGGTCGGCACTGATGAAAAGAAAATTGACTATATCTGAAATTGGCCTTTTGAGGCTGATAATATGGCCAATAAATGCCCGTGCATGCATGCAGCCACAGTCCAGCACGCAGGCAGCAAGGAGCAGAGCCCGGCAGCGTGGAGTTGGTAAATCTGTTGTGGTGAAAGGGGAGAGGAGAGGAAGGGGCGTGAGGGGGACAGATCAATGCCCCCTCATGGTGAGGGAGGGAGTAGGGTTGGGGCTTGGGTAGGTGCTGCCCAGCTGGGGTGGGGCAGGGCGAGTGCAGGATGGAGCCTTGGCTTCTCGGAGGGAGGTGTGGGGGCGACTTACACTTCTGTGCGCCGCTCGTCTGGCGGCTTGTTCAGCGGCTTCTGTTGCTGCTCCTTGTCTGGGAGAGCACTGGGGGGGGGCATGTGCCCCCGAATCTGCATGGAACAGGCTGCAGCTGTGGGCTGGGGCCAGGGGCTGCATTGCACTGCACTTGGGGCAGGCAGTGGTGGCACTGGGAGGGGACTATGGTGGGGGCTACAGTGT